AACCTTTTTGGGACCTTATCAACTGAGCTGTTTTTTTTTAATTTGGCAACTATACTGTGAGCATTTCCAAGCCCAAATATCTGTGGCTTCTCAAGCCCTGGAGTGCTGTGGGGAGCAGTTCCACAGCAGATGGACCTACTAAGAAGAAAGGAGATACCCTGCTATAAAGATGAGCAAACTGAAGGACAGGGGGAAAAAAAATTTAATTTCTAACCTTCTCCACTCTTCCTGTTAAAGAAATGCTAAAAGAAGAGGATAATGCTGCAGAAACAGAGACTGCATTAGCAAAATGAAAGGCTTTTCCTCCTCAAAAGCCTTCAAATTGCCATGATTTCCATTGCCTTGATAAAATCAGACCTGGCTGGTAGTGCCATATATTCTTTTGTGCTTTTGCAGTGATGATAAATTTTGCATGAAATGAAAGTAAATAGTTGTTTATACTTCATTTTACAGCAGCCAGTATGTCACTAAGTCAGCACTTCTCCTCCAAGATTTATAGAGCAGGATTTAGGCTAAATTGCTGGCATATGAGATTTCAGCCAAAGGTTGTTTTCCTTTAACCATTTTGTTTTTCAAATGCCTTGGCTGATTTTAGGTTATTGGAGTCCAATATAATTACTTGCTTAATTGCTTGGAAGAAGTAGAGCTTCCGTAGTTCAAAAATGGCTTATTTTCTTTAAAAATAACTGAAATCTGGCTTGGGGTTCTCTAGAATGCAATGCACTATACAATTGTGTAATTTTATCCTCTTAAAAATTCCCTGAATAGTCATTAAATCTTTGGAAACTAGCTAATCTCCAGGAGGATGCGATATGTCTGGCTATTTTCCAGGGTTTGCAAGAGGCTATGACAGCTTAACATGGTAAGAAAAATGGTTTCTAAATCACTGCAAGACTGGGTCAAAGATTCCAGCCTGCTGAAACCCAGTTGGTCTTCTTAATGACTCCGTTCATCTCCGATGTCCAGAATCAGCCTCTGCTTTCAGAGGTGACACAGAGCAGAGGAGAAGAGGAAAAATTGACACAGAGTCCACGCAGCTTGTGAATACGGACAGATCAGTTAGATACCAGCCAGTGCCACTTTCAGTTGTGCTGTACCAAGTTGTGTTGTGTTGGTGCACAACAATAAAGGACATTTATGAGAGGTATAATGTGGTAGGTAATGTTGTGGAAGAGACTAAAGTAACCAACAAGGCAACAGAACAGGCAAAATGGTAGCCTGCATGTTGAGAAGCCAGAGATAATGCTAAGATGTCTAGGATGATTATATTTTTCCTGAATATGACTCGGTACGTTAGTGCAGAGGGTAAGTGTGTCACTTTCAGCCTGCTCTCCTCTTCGTAAGAGGGCCGTGTATGTGAGCGTGTGTGTTCATGTGCCTGTTAAGTCTATCAGTCTGTTCTTCTGTCTTTTCCCTTTTAACTTCTTCATTTTTTATTCAGTGCAAAGCAAATCTGGTGCAAAGGGAGGGGTCTCACAGACAATGAAATTCCAACAAGTTTCCTGAAAATTGTATGTTCTTGTGCAGAAAAAGAACCAGAAATTACTCCCAGAAAGACTCTCAGCTGAAGGCAGTGTTGCAGCATGAGTCCTTACACACAGAAGCAACAAAGAATCAGCAGAAGGATGGGTGAGGGGCAAGAGAAGCCCTAAGAGACCCAGGAGAGGGAAAGCTTCTCTGAATATTTCACTTCACCCCAAAATGCAGTTCACAGGGAACCAGGCATTAGTTCCAGCACTCACCAAGCTAGGAGCTGTGGCTTAGACTACAGCACACTGTGGAAATTTCTGTTGCCTAAACATACCCCAAGTCATTGAAGCATGTCCTTTTTTTTTCTTTTTTTTTTTTTTTTTTTTTTTTTGGCAGGGGAGGGGAGGAAGAAATGCACTACATTAGTGAGCTTGATTAGCCGTGTCAGCCAAGGTACCAGCCAAACGCACTGGATTGATGTGTTTTGCAAAGGAAAGGTTTGCCTCTACTCTCTAGGGCCAAAGTTAGTTTTGGATAGAATACCAACATGATTTTGCTAAAGGTGGTCTTTGGCTTTTCTGATGAAAACTGAGATTGCTTCTTCTCAACCTGGTGTGGCAGCAATCTGCTTTCTCAGGATGTGAAAATAAAAACATTACCATGTTGGGAGGGAATCTGGTCTCTTTTTGGAGACTGCTGCAAGACATTCATAGGGTTACATTGCCTTTCCTCCTCTGAACATCTGAAAGATGGCAGTGCATTCCTGGACCTCTACAAACCATAGAAGTTTCACTGTTTCACAGGAGTGCTAAGAAGACAGTCGATGAGCTTTAGGGCATTGGGAGTGTGCTGAGGACAAGGTGCACCGTCTTTCACCCAGACTTGGTCTTGTGAATGAAGCAGACAAGGATTTGGGAATAATGGGAGAAGAAAAGATTCAAAGAGGCTGTAAAATGTTCCCCTTCTTGTCTTTTCATATTGCTCTTTGTCTGGGCTATCTGGGAGGATAATGATCTTGCAGCTCCCTTCCCTCACCTGTGCCCATTCAGCTGCACCTCTGGGGGAAAAAAAAAAAAAAGTAGTCATTGCCATTTGTAAATAGAGGAGCTGGACTGTCATCTCAAAGCTTGGAGCTGAGGATGCCATCCAGTCCAGCTCACATCAGCGTCATTCCTCAGAGACTCCATGTGAATCAGCAGGACTCCATCAGTGACCCCAATGAGCTCGAGAAGAGTTCCCAAGAGTGCTGCTGCTCTGGGTTTCATGTCTGGGCAGCTTGATCCAATGGATCTTGAAAACAGAATGGTTTATGGATTCAGAGGACAACTGCTTTGTACTTATATGAAGAGAAGAATGTTGGTTGAGATTAGTTATTCAGATATAAAAGAGAAATTTCACTTTTAATATATCGTGTTGTATCTATTAAATGTATCAAACAACAGCTGATTGCAAAATCCCTCTTTGTAATTGGCTTGTTTCAAGCTAGTAGCAGTAGAAATCATACATGACTATGTCTGTTCTGCTACTTAACATTTAAAAGACAAAAGGACAATAAGAGGGAGTGGAGAAAAAGTGTAGACAATTATTCAGGTTGTTTTAGCTTCTTAAGGTTTGATTCCAATGGATTTACAATTTTGTCCGTGTGCCACTAGTAGCTCATGGGATTAGACATGAAGTCTTTATAGATATGAAGCTTGAAAAGAAAGATCTACATTGAGCCAGCCCTCCACAGTTGCCTAAATCTGTTTCAGAGATCCACAACATGAGTTTGGAAGGCTCAGATCTCTTAGGGCAGATAGCCATCACTTTGCTGAGTTGATGAAAATTTGAGGTTCAGGAAGCATGTCTCCACCAGGAGAACAGCTCTATAAATTTTGCAGGAATAAGAGGGCTCTGTTCTTAAGACTCAGGTAAAATGCAGAAAATTAAGTCTAGTTTTTCATAAATAAATACCATAATACAGAAACAAGGTATGACATTATAATACTTGAGGGCTTTAATGGTGGTAAACTGGGCATTGCCATAAAGAAAATAATTAGGAAATATACTTTTCCAAAAGGAACAAAAAGCTTAGATGAGAGGCAGCCATTCTGAAAAGGCAGAAAGACACCGGTTAGAGCATCCCACACGAACACACAGCACAAGCATAGCTACTTACTGACACAAGAGTGCTGTGTGATCTACACGTTGTAACTGAGATTGCTCAGCCAGGTATCAACTCAGAATTAATGGCAAGCTGTCTGATAAAGTAGTAATATCCAAATGAACTCCTCGAAGAGCTTTTGACTGAGAAATTCTTAAAGCTAAATCTGAGAAATCTTACAAATATTGACTTTGTGTGCTATTGCCTGTAGTTGGGGGATCCACAGAGACTTGCTTCTCATATTCTTCTACCTTAATGAAGCCAATGACTGTTCTTTGGTGATCTGTCAAGGTAGATCAGTTAAAACCTATTTGAGGCCAGGCAACCATTCTGAACTGTTAGCTGCCAATTTCATACTGTTTATAAGCTTTTTCATCTCCATTACTTATCTTGGTGATGATGATTGTGGTTGTGAGGGTTGATTTTTGAACCTGAAATTCATCTCTTTTGACTTTTCACTAAGCAGCTGTTTTAGCAGTGCTTTCTCCTGTACATTAGGCTTCAGCACTGTGCATTTGTAGCACTGTAACTAGAGTCAATAAAAAGTAAACAGCATGTCTAGAAGCTCTTAATCGGTATTTCACAGCCACATTAGCTACTCTGTCCTCCCCTTTGTCCTATCAAAAGCGTACACTTAGGAATGGCAGGGCATTGCTAATGTCATCCCTTACATCCAATTCACAGGAAGAATTCGGTTTAGGTACCCCTCCCTCTTCTGCTGTGAAGAACATGAATTCCTGAATTTGTTGCAGGTTTTTATTTCTTCCTCCTGTGTCTTTCTCTAGAGAAAAGGAAAGCACCAGGGTATTCCACTGTAAACAGTATGCATCCATTGCTTTTCATGTTCATTCATTTCAAATGGATAAATAAATGGCATTCAAAATAAAATAAACAGCATTCTGGGTGGGTATCCTAACCCCTTAATGCCATCAGATATGGTGGGAGGGGGGTACTAGCACAGGCACTTGCTTCAGCTTCGTTCTTTATTGACTGATTCCAGTTTCAGAAGGAGGAGGTCTGTATGGTCCTCGCTTCCCACTCGTCACTTGGAGATCTGCAGCATCAGCGTGGTGGATCTCT